ATGGACTGGCATCCCGTCCAGGGTGTCCCCTGCCTCGTGCCCCATTATGGACTGGCATCCCGTCCAGGGTGTCCCCTGCCTCTTGCCCCGCGATGGACTGGCATCCCATCCAGGGTGTCCCCTGCCTCGTGCCCCATTATGGACTGGCATCCCATCCAGGTTGTCTTGTGCCCTGTCCTTCCTGGGATAGGATCCAGGCTTACCATGAACCTCTAATGGCTTTGCATTTATGGAAGATGGATGGATGGGTGAATGGATGGATTTTTTTTATGCACTGTCACCGAAACAAGCATCAATCTACATTGTAGTTACACACTGCAGAGACGGACACAAATCGCTCATGCATAATTTGCTGAGTGAGGGTCTCCATGTCACAAAAGCCATTGTGATTGACGGGGCTTTTTAACGTGCTCCCGTGGATTCTGACTGCCAATTTATGGGACAGGGTTGTTAATTTCAGTTCTGCCACCGGAATGAGATCTCTAGCCTGGGTGTTTGAGAATCAGGATTTAACCAGGGAGTGTGGAAGAAGGCCCGCAGGGAGTCAGGATGATGAGGAAGATGGATGAAGAGAAGGAGGGCTTGGGAAACAGGCGGCCATGCCCGTTAGCGACAGTAAGGCTAACGACGAGACACACACCTCCATACCACACTCACTAAAGCAGTGCTGATCCAGTGTTATCCAGTTGCTACTTGGTTTGTCAGTAGCTTTCTTCTGCTTTTCACTCACTCACCCCATGAGTAGCTTGTCGTAAATATACATTTTATTTATTTAGCAGATGTATTTATTGTAGGCAACATACAGTTTTGAAAAAGCAAGGTTAGCCAGTTCATGGAGCAATTGGGGGTTAAGAGCCTTGGTCAAGGGCTTGATAGGGTAATCATTCTGCAGACCCAGGGATTTGAACATATGACCTTCTGATCGTGGGCTCAGCATTCTAATATACTGCAGCCTCCGGATCTGCGGCAGGTATCCTCTGGTGAAACCTGCGCATGTCTAAATGCTTCTTATTCAGAAGGTCAAAAGGACCTGAATGTGATATAGGAGGGCAGCCGAAATGCCCATCACGGCCTGCCCAAGACCCAAGACGCAGGACTTCCATTAAAGCGGTTAATAGTGGACGACAGCCTGCAAACAGGCATGAATCAGCATGAGCCTGCCTGCCAGGAAGGACACTCCCACATCACTCTTCTCATCTGCACCTCCAATGCCTGCAGTGGGGACACCATCCCCCCCCCCCCCCCCCCCCCCCTTCTTGGCCGCCTCACCTCTCATTGCCTGGTGCCAGCGAGTCACATGACCCTTGGGTGCGTGCCATCACCTCTATCTTCGAGATCTCCCTCTTAGGGAAATAGCCTAGGAAGTCCTGAGCTCAGGATGGGACCCAGAAGCTCGGTGGGATGGAGACTGAAAACAGAGGCACACGGTGGTTCTGCAGGAATGCTGAGGAGGGCTGCGTCGCCATGGCAACCACACCGAGACGGACTCCCAGGGAATCGGAAAGCTGGGGAGCGACATGTCCGTGAAATATCACCCCGGCTTCCTGAATCGAAAGACGGCGACAATGTCAGACTGGCCAACTTCCGGCACTAACTTCAAAAATAGAACTGGAACGAGTATTTTCAAGCACTGGATGAAAGATGAGATTGGGTGAATGTTATTTTTCTCCCCCCCCCCCCAAATTTGATGAGTTTCAGGTGATGCTCCGCGTCCATCAGGCGTGGAGAAAAAGCAGCGATGGACGACAGCTAGAATGAGAAGGAACTCTGAAGATCAGACGTGTCAAAGACACCCCTCATGGAAGAAGAGGCTGAGTCGGGTGGCTCTGTGGCTCTGGTTTGTGAGATCTCCCCCCTTTCCTTCCATTTCTGAGGTCACTGATTCTTAGCAGTTACTCTTCACAGAAATAATTGGGCTCTGAAACATATCCCTCTTACCTTTGTCAAAACATAAATCTCTAATCTACTGCACATCAGCTTCCCGCTGACATGAGATGGAGAGGATCTGATAGGGGGATATTCCAGGATTTTCTTTAAGGCGGGGGTGCATAAAAGGGGCTATTTCTCACCAGTGGGCCCACCCCTGTATATGCCCACGCCTATAAAGGTAAAAATGCAGGGAATTTGCAGGTTCAAGGCTACTTGAGGAGTTTAAACAGCCCCTTTGCTGAATACTGTAAAATACGAGGCGGAAAACTGCTTCAGGAGAACAGAGCTCCAGCTGGCTTCATGTCTTAGAGATTTGGGGACATGATGTGCTCTGGTTTTGACGTGACTAGGGCAGGAGTGAGCAGTTTGTGTTTGTCGAGTTTTAAAAACTACACGGTTATAAATAGGCATAGAAACTTTTCGCCATAGACATCACTGCCACACACCAGGACACTGCACAGGCTGAATATGAAACTACAAGGGTCAACAAGGGAGGTAACCCCGTACCTCTGTTAGTGTAGTGTGCTCCCCAAACACCAGGGGGAGCTCTCACCTGTCCACTGAACCAGTTCCAAGGTGCAGGCTAAAAATGAGGGGATCAAAATGGGAGGATGGGAATGGAGAAGAGGAAAAGGAAGACAGAGAGGAGATTTTAAGTCTCTGTAGGAGGCAATTTCTGAGATTCATTATATCTGGTATGTATGTGATCCTTGCTTCGTGTGCTTGTGTTTACCTATGCTGCATGTACCTTCCCAAGACCCTGACCAGGAATAGAGTGATTAGACGATGGGTGGATGTACCATCAACATGTGTTTGCCATTAAAACCGTACACTCACCATCAACCATGATAGTATTTCTTTCAAAAACGAACATAGCATAGTGTGTTTCAAAGTTTGTATATACTGTACAGTTTGTGTTATCGTAATGTTGCACTCTACGCTCACTGTTTATTGCATTGTTGCACTACATGTTGACTGTTGCCTGTTATACTCTGCAAGAAGGCATTCAAGGAAGAATTTCATTGCATTTTATACCAGTACACTGAAAATATGACAATAAACCTTTCAATCCTAGAGTTAAACTAAATTATTTTCCCAAGAGCTAAAGCAGAGCTAAGAGATGTTACATTAAGTGATATACTACTCCATCTCCACTTCCTTTGCACTTTCCCTACAGTTTACTTAGTGGTTGGTTATGGAGTTTGACATTCTTTTACAGCAAGGATGGAACAAACTGGGTCTAGTGATAGTCTGTCCGCACCAAGTGCCCTAGAGAAGTTACACAGTGGACTGAACTTGCAAGCAGTCTGTAGCTAACAGAGGTAAAGGATGGTGAGGATAAAGATGGAGGTCAGCTGGGGGAGGAGTTAGAGCTTCTACAACCGGAAATACCACTAAAAATCGCTGTGAGAGCAGAGGACCTGGCCAGCTCACAACTGAGGCACCGGCAAGCCTTCCAAAGAGAGATCAGCCTTGTTTAGCACCAAAGCTAACAGTTTCCAGAAGAATCATGTGGTTGTTGTGTAAAACACTGAGAAGAGGAGAGAGCTGAGTAGGTGCTGGTTATCCCATACCGCCAGGAGCGGTTATTATGGGATGCAACCAAGACTACAGCACTATTCCAATTGCCCTTCGTCATCTCAATTTAGCATGATTGGGTGAGGCTTTAACATTTATAGCAGCTTGTGAAGAGTTTTTATTGGTTAAAACTTGCAGAAATTGCATGTGTAAGATCCCTAAATAAAC